TTCAGAATGGTTTGATCCCTATTCAGCTGAATTCCTGAGACCAGACGAAATCCAGGTCTCCTACTCCTCCGCCATCTTGCTCCGCCCCCCCTTTACCTACTTTCTATGTCACTTTTCCCTTTGTCTCATTTTTCAAGATTGCTTTCGAAATTCTAGGTTCTTTGCTTCTAAGCATCTACTAAAAAGTCTGAGATTTTTGATTGGGATTACATTGAATCTTTAGATAGACTGCAGGAGAATTGACATTTTAACACTAAACGTCCTTCCAATCCAGGGACATGGCATACATCTCCATTTATCTAGACCTTCTCTAATTTCTCTTTGTAAAATTTTGCAGCTGTAGGGGCAGAACTCTTCCATGTTTTTGTTGCCTTTTTCCCTCAACAGCCTATGTTTTTGATGCTTTTGAAAACAGAATTGCTCTTATTTAATTTTAATTAAATAATTGTTGATAGTATATAAAATACAATTAATAAGAAATAAAATAAAATTAACTTATAAATCTCATGTCCTTGTCAAATTCACTTACTAGATTCAGGAGTTGTAGTGTGGGAGCCCTACCTTCTGTTAGTTCTCACCCCAAGTGAGTAATTAATGATTTAGCTCCATTCTGTTCTTCATCAGTGAAGGTGTCCCTACCTCCCTCTCCTAACTTGGCGACCTTACGGTGGCTCTAGGGTTGAAGGGTGGGGTACATCATTAGTAAAACTGTCCTTTTGGCAACCGTGTCCCCATATGTATCACAGATACTTTCATTTAAAGAGGGGTTTCAAACCTCAGTCTTATTCATACAAGTAAAGGAACAGAGAAAAAATATTGTGTAGAAACCTGAGTGGACGGGTGCCTGGGTGGCTCAGTTGGTTAAGCGACTGCCTTTGGTTCAGGTCATGATCCTGGAGTCCCGGGATCGAGTCCTGCATCGGGCTCCCTGCTCAGCAGGGAGTCTTCTCCCTCTGACCCTCCCCCCTCTCATGTGCTCGCTCTCTCTCTTTTTCTCTCTCTCAAATAAATAAATAAATCTTAAAAAAAAAAACCTGAGTGGACAAATGTATAGAAAAACATTTAAAGTAAATAAACTCTACTAGAATATCTGCTCCATTACTATAGAGACCTTTCTGTGTGTTGGTCTCTGCTGCTACTCTAGTACCTTTAACAGTGCCTCCCATGTAATAAATGTTCAATAAATATCATTTGGATGAATGAATGAAGAAATTGGCATTTGGGAGGGTCAGAAAGCAGACCCACCTTTCAGTGAGAACACTGCGTCCCCGTTTTCCCATGGAAGCAATTGACAGACACTCAGGAATACCCTCTTATGTGGTCATTCAGTCTACAGTTTATCCCAGTTTCCACCAAACACATCATCTTATCAAGGGCATGCTTTACTCATCTAGGCTACCTATCTGTCCCTTGAATGCATGAGGATCTGAAACTTCTCTATCAACAGAAAAAGATGAGACATGACTGAGGCCCTGTTGCAAATAGAGTCGGAATCAGTGCACATTTGATTTGCTGCGTGGATGACATCAGTGTCATTGAGTACAAGCCTGAATACAAACTTGTAGACTGTGCTGAATGATACATTGCATAACTATGGCAGCTGGTGTGATGCATGAAACATGTATTGTGTTCTTTTTGCTTTTATATATCTACAGTCTTCCAAACGTCTACTTTTCACTCTTCTGTTTATTTTCCTAGGGCAGGTTCATAGTGTTGGGTGATTTGCCCATGAAATAAGGAGGCACGTAGGTAAGAATCAGGCAGTGAATAATGGAACCTGACTATTATTGAGAAGTGACAAGACCATGTGTGTATCCTGCAGGTGTAGGTCAAATACCCTTGCCTACCAGCTGAAGACAAAATCTTAAGGGAGCAACAATCACACTGAATTGTTAATGCAGGGAAGTAACTTTATTTTGGTACAAAAATATATCAGGTTACAGAAAAGGCCTATAAAAGGGAAGTTAGGAGAATGATTTCACCAATTGTCAGGTCGAAGAGTAAAATCTGTTACTGTATAAGTGCTCTGCGCCATATCCATCTTCTTCAACAGCATGATTGGTTTCCTCAGTGGAATTAAGGCCCAATTCAGTTGAGCAACCTCATTTCCACTCCATGTGTTCTAAAAGCACAAAAGGAGGGACTACAAATGTGGGGCAGAGGTAAACAGAGACCGTGGTCACAGGGCAGGGGGTTCAGCAGCAAGAGGAGGCACAGCACATGGGACGGGGGCAGGTGGAGATGACACAGGTGGGGCGATAACAAGTGGTGTGGCAGGAGACCCGGCCACAGACTGGGCGCAGGCAGCAGGAGGGGCAGCAGCAGGAGGGGCGGCAGCAGCTGGAGCCGCAGCAGCTGGAGCAACAGCAGGAGGGGCGGCAGCAGCTGGGCCTGCAGCAGCTGGAGTCACAGCAGCTGGGGCCACAGCAGGAGGGGCGGCAGCAGCTGGACACACAACAGCTGGGGCGGCAGCAGGTGGTCCTGCAACAGGTGGTCTGGCAGCAGCTGGGGCGGCAGCAGGTCTCCTGGCCACAGCCCTGGTCAGAGCACATGGAGCCACAACAGGAGTTGACCATGGTGTCAGAGGGTGGAGGTTCTGATATTAGTAAGAGAGTGAGCTTGGTGAATTTGAAAATCCCTCTGCTGCTTGTCTTCTTTTATACTCTGCTGAAGCTGCTATTTTCTTGTCTTGGACAATTTCCTGGTTTTCTTTTCCTAAAGAAATATTAGTCATTAAATTAGATCACTGTGTTTTTCTGCTTAAATATTTTCAAATGAAGAAAAATAAGATTTCCTTTTCCTGGTGTGTTAAGATTTCCAATCTGGTCATTTTCAAAATTGTCTTTTCTATTTTCTTGTTTGTCAAAAGGGCCTATCACATGGGTTCAGTCACTGATGTTTACCTGTGATCTGTCTATCACTCCATGATGTTTGGACAAATTATTCACATGATGCCAAGGTCTCTTTTGATGTCAAAAGAGAGGTAGAATTATAGTAGGGAATAGAAAAAATTTCATCTTTATGAGTTACCTGTGTGCTATGAGGAAGACAGACCCTATCTGTGAGTCACAAATACTCATTAGAGAATAGACTCTGGCTGTTTCAAAGTATGTGCTAAGTATTATTTCCTGTGTTCAATTTGAAACCATTAGCAACAGCTCATTGTTTGTAAATATTAAAAGGTATTTATTTGGGATCTCTTTGAAGGGACTCTCACTGGCCCAGTATGGAACAACTTGAACAGCAAAATGAATAGTGGTAGTAATGGATTTTAACCCATTAAAAAAAAGAACTCATGAGTCCATATTGAGACTAATTAAAGAGATGAAAAAGATGAGAAAGTTATCCATGGTAGTAGAATGTCAACTAATAAATGTAGAAGGAAAAACTGAGTCACAAAATCACCGTTTACAACCCTCATAATAAAACTTGATTCAGGTAAATATCATCAATGGATGCTACAGCTAATAGGTGAAAGTGTTGGGGGACAGGATATTTGCACACCTTTAAAATATTTCCTCATCAGGGGGGCACCTGGGTGGCTCAGTTGTTAAGTGTCTGCCTTCAGCTCAGGTCATGATGCTGGGGTCCTGGGATCGGGCTCCCTGCTCAGCGGGAAACCTTCTCTCTGTCCCTCTGCCACTTCCCCTGCTTGTGCTCTCTTTCTGTCTCTTTCTCTCTCTGACAAATAAATAAAATCTTTTCAAAAATAAAATATTTCCTCATCAGTTACTAATTTCTAAGGGAAAAATGCTAACTTTACTGTGGAGAAACTTCAGAAAAAAACCTTAACCAGTGTTAGCATCACTAATAATAGGACCAACGGACATGTGTCTCCCTAAGTCACACACTGAATGGACACATCACTTATGTAGTATTCCTGTCAAAATGCACCACCCAAATCAAATCATGAGGGATTCAGACAAATCCATACTAAGGAATATTCCTCGTAATGATTTCTCTTTTAAAATGTCAGAATCACCAAATATAAAGACAAACAAACGAAGTGTTTCAGATTTAAGGAGACTAAAGAGACACAGTATCTAAATGCAATTCACGAATGTGGATAAAAATTTCTCTATAGGATATTCTTGGTACAACTGCCAACATGCAGATATTAAATGTATATTAAGGGATAGTAATGCATCAACATTTAATTGATATGTGTACTCTGGTTATGCAAGAAAATGTCCTTAGTCTTAGGATTTTAAGTTTATATATTTAAATCTTTGTGTCTATATCTACCTATAGCTGTCTATTGGAAAGAAGTAAAATGTGGCAAAATGTTGAATCTAGATGAAAGTTATATGGTATAAAGGGGGTCTTCATATTACTGTTCCGTAAGTTTGATATTTTTTTTCAAACGTTAAGATTGAAAGAATCTTTTTCTTCAGTGTTAATATATCAAGAGGGAGTAATTAGTATCTTTTGGGAGAAATACTAATATATAACAAATTTTACTTTATAGGAGCTTTTGTAATAACCTTTTTTTATATTTCTAACTAGTGCAATAAATCTTTCATTTTCTTGGGACCTTGAAAATATAGGACTTTTGGCAACATTCCTGATTGAATTGTACAAGCAAATAGAAATGCTTGAAAAGTATTTTAATTACATGGCTGAATTTGAAAAAAGAAAAGAAAAATTCTCATTTTCCAGAAATGAAAAGAGAACTCAAACTGTAAACAGTAGCTGATGTCCTAGGGCCTATGGAATTTGTTGGTATCTAGTTATAGGCTCTCAGAATCAGAGGTTGGTAGTTAATACCCAAGCAGGTGCAAGAAATGGGACCTCAAGCTATCACAACGCAGGATCCAAGAAGGGAGAACTCTTTATAGAGTTTGCATGTCTAAAGTGGCACCTTGTAAGATGGGGACAAGAAAACCTTATCTGCCCACAGGGGATTTTACATGGTAATCAAGGCTCCTGGGAGCATCTCAGCCACAGCAACACTAGCAAGCTTTTTAATTTATACTATATACATACTGAAGGAATCTTTGAGATTTGTGCAAAGTGTTACAAAACAGTGAATGTCCTTGGAATCATCAGAAACAAAAGCAAAAATCATAGCACACACAAATAACTGTTATAAAAGAATATATAAGAATATATGTAGAATATTAACTCAAAAAAGCACTAACCACGAGGAAAAGAAACCACACACAGGCTGAATGGGATGTCCACAGGGGAAAATGTTCTAAAATACTCAAGAGCATAATCCACCATGAATAGCATAGTAGATACAAGAAAAGAAAATATAACCTCAAGAATTGAGATAACTGAAGATTCTGAAGACTATAAATAACTTGGAATCTAAAGAGGCTCTTTAATCTTTGGCTTGATGTTTCCATCACTTTTGTTAAATTGCCCATCAGGTATCTCTTTGTTTATAGCTTCTTCTCTGTTCTCTTTTCCTGGGACTCAAGTTTATGTGTACGTTTGATCTTTCACTTTGTTCCATGTGTATCTCATGCTCTTGTCTGTATTTTTTTTTTTAACTTTTTCCTCTTTGTATTTTAATGTGGATATTTTCTACTTCCAATGTGTTCTCTCCCTCTTCTGTCCAATCTGCTAAACCCCTTTATTGAGTTCTGAATTTTCAGGATTTGAGTTTTTCAGTTCTAGGATTTTCACTAGACTTCTGTTTTCATTTTTGTTTTTACATATTCTGGTTCTCTGATGAAATTTGCCATTTCTCATCTATTACTTTAAACATATTAATCATAGTTATTTTAAGGTTAGTTTTAATACTTTACATGGATCATCTTTGAATCTATTTCTACTGTCTTTTCCTTGGTCTCAGTAATTTGGTCCTTTTTTCTTCCAGCATATCTATTTTTAATTGAATACCAGACATTATATATGAAAAACTAGAGGGGGGGGCGGAGCAAGATGGCGGAGGAGTAGGAGACCTGGATTTTGTCTCGTCTCAGGAATTCAGCTGGTTAGGGATCAAACCATTCTGAACACCTACGAACTCAACAGGAGATCGAGGAAAAGAATAGCAACAACTCTTTGAACAGAAAAGTGGCCACTTTCTGGAAGGTAGGACGTGCAGAGAAGTGAATCGGAGGCGATATGCGGGAGGATAGAGGGCAGGGGAGGGGGCCTCCATCGGCCGCTTCTGGCAAGTGATAGAGCAGTGGAGCACAAAATTGGAACTTTTAGAAGTCGGCTCCACTGAGGGACATCACTCCAGTGGCTAAGCAGGGGGTGGAACCCTCGTGGGACAGTGTGGTCTCAGGACCCTCAGGGTCACAGAAAGACCGGGGGTGCCTGAGTGCGGCAGAGCTCCCAGGTATCGGAGCGGGGAAGCTGGCTGCAGAGACGGAGCTGAGGAGCAAGCTCTCAGGAGCAAGCTCTCAGCTCGGGGTTGCCATAAACTGTGATCGGTGACAGTTGGGCCACTGCTCCTCCAGCAGGGACCCAACAAGCGGCAGATCCGGGGAGATGCCCCTTCCTCCCCCGGGAGGAGTGGTGGGGGAGCGCACCGCAGGGATCTGCTGGGTTTGGAGACTTCACATGGGGTCGGGTGCCAGAGATAGAAATGCTCGGTCACAGGCCGGGTGAGCACGGAGTGCGGCTGGAGACCGGGGACACGGGAGTGACTGACTGTTTTTCTCTGGGGGCTCACTGAGGAGTGGGGCCCTGAGTTCTCAGCTCCCCTGGGGCGGAGTTTGGGAGGCCACCATTTTCACTCTGGTCCTCCAAAGCTGTACGGAAAGCTTGCAGGAAACAAAAGCTCCCGAGAGCAAACCCGAGCTGATTACTTAGCCCGGACCCGGCAAGGGGGGGGCAATTCCGCCTCCAGCAAAGACATTTGGGAACCACGGCAACAGGCCCCTCCCCCACAAGATCAGCAGGAACAGCCTAGACCAAGTTTACCGATCAATGAGAACAGGAGAACTCCAGCGCTAGGAGAATACTGCATATAGAATTCATGGCTTTTTTACCATGATTCATTAGTCTTTCAAAGTTAATTTTTTTAATGGATTTTTTTTTTGAATTTTTCTTTTTCCCTTTTCCAACCAACATCTTATCAATCCCTTTTTTTAAAAAAACATTTTTATTTTTCATTTTTAGAGTCATATTCTATCCCTTCATAGTAGTTACC